TTAGGAGTAACTCATTTATCTGATTGTGGTTCTTTAAGTATTCTATTTGTAAGACCGTAATTTACGTGATAAGCTAGTATTTTTAAGGCTGTATTTGGATTTTTTAAATTGTAATTGTACTTTTGGATTGACTCTTGCAGCGGTGCGCATCGCAGATTAGGTACCGACAAAAACGTCTACTCTGGACTACATAGGGCCCCAAGGATTCCCATTGCTATCACTAGCCCATCAATCTTGCCTCCTCGATGGCATCTATCAATTGTGCTTAGTAGCAAATGCTGGTGTTGAGGGATTCCAGTGAGAGAAATCAAAAAATCGAAATCTTATGCTTGCACATAGTCGCCCACCTCTCATCTCACCCCTTCTGGTCGCCCTGACTGAGTTTCTGAGGTTTCAAGTTTTCGATCAGATGTTTTTTGTTTTTTGTTTTCAAGCAGATCTCAAAACTTTCCTAACAAGATCTACCTTGAATGGTCTCTGAATGAGTGAAGTAAGCCCTACCTAGAGGCTGTGGAAGCTGTCGTAGTACCACCTCGAATCATTGGCTTAAAACTTCTTCAACTGTGGTACTAATGCCCAGATACTGCAAAGTGGTCAGGGCTGTTTCAATTAAGAGATTTCAGGGTCAGCTGACGCTCGAGCCAGGCTCCCGACGCGAATGGCGCCCATGACTCAAGTGCGAGACTTCGTTGGCTTTGACGGATATTGATCTGATTGTGAGATCCCACCCATGGATCATATGTGACTAGCACCGCCACTTCGACCGGCAGCACCTTATTCCTACACCGATGTTATCGAATTTTTCAAGCAAAAAACTTCATTTATACTTATGTCTCAACACCATCTAAAAAATTGTATTACAATAGTGGACGATCGCTCAAAGTAACTTTTTACAGCTTGATGCCTTTTGACATTTTCAAAGCATTCCCCATTGATGGTATCTGCAAAAAGTGTCGCTAAAAGAGGTAACTCCAACTCTTATGAATGTACATTACCTCTTGGAAGCTCGTTGATCTGGTTACAGAGAAGTGATATCTTAGTGAATCGGAATCCTCTAGCCCACTGGATAGGTCGATCTTACTTTCTTCCTTAAATGATCGTTGGCTTTGTCTCAATATCACTAGTTAATTCTCATTATCCGTAACCAAATTACTGGTCAAACTGAACGCCAAGCAGATTTTGAACTTGCATTTGCTTCTTTGATAATGTGTACATTGCGCTTATCCATTGCCCTTTAAGCTGTTTTAATGACACGGTTCACGATAAAAGTGGTTCCTGAAATTCCCCCATAGGATGAATTCAAGGCCCCCTCGTATACCATATCTGGCGCATCAGGAAAACGGCCCAGTCAAGGAGCTCAAAGATTGACCCGCGTGTATCTTCGGACGAGTTTCACCGGCATTGTAGAGGCTATACCGTTCAAAAGGGGACCAATGTAGGAAGTTGAAATAACTCGTCATGACCCACAGCGACAGTGAAAGGCAGTTCTGTACATTTTTGGCTTGATGTAGTCAGCTCATTATGCAACTGCAACAACTGAAATCTCGTCCGAATACCCCTTAAATGTTATTTCCGTCATGGTAATCTCGTCCAACCTTTATTTTCCCTACT